GTGTGTGGTGGTAGTGGCAGCCAGCTGCCAGGGTCTCAGGAGCCTGGCCCTGCACATTGCTGCTGTGGGCTGGACCGACAGCCATGCCACAGGTCTTTTGGAACAAATCATGGGATGCAGCTTCATTCAGATGTGGTAGAATATGCCAAGGAAAAATTTGAGCGCTTTATAAAAATAGTGATAGCTTTGATAAATTTGAGTTCTGTGAACCTTCATTGGTGGTTGGTAATTGCCTCCAGAGATCATCTGACAGACATCAGTATGATCAGATTTATTGTGATTCTAGAGTCCAGAAAAAACTACATGAACATTTTACTGAATGTGGGAGGCATACTAGTCATGCTTACAGAAAATCAGTTAACACAGATTATGCTAACTGGAGAAGCCACTTGGGAAAGTAAAAATAGCCTTGCTATTTCATTTGCTCCACTTGTGCACCAAAGTGAGAATGATTATGGCAAGCTTGCCATTGTTGGACTGCCTCCCTGACCTGTCAGAAAACTGCAGGACTTGTCCAGTATTTACATTTGCTGCAAACTTAGAACTTTCATAAATGATAAGATGCAGGCCAAAGGGATTTCCCAAAAGGAAAAGAAAGAGAGTGAAACAGAATTAATAGGCAAGTCATTGTAGGTAATAAGCTTATTCCTCAACCTCTAGACAGTGAGGAGGATGAGAAAATAGAAGATTAGATAAAAGAGAAAGACCACCGTGAAGCCATAAAGCCAGAAAAGCCTCCTCAGAATTCACTGAGACAGCAAACATGAAGCTGCCCCTCATTGAGTCTTTAAAAATTTACTTGACATATTTTAGAAATAAATTACAGATTGATAAGAAAGAATGACTCCTGATAATTCCTGTAGTCTCAAACCTGTAGCATTTGCTAGAAGTTAAGAAAATTATTTCTTTCATAAGAGTGAATTATAGTGGGGCAAAAAGTATAACCTGTTTCTCTCAGTAGCAAAAATGATGTATTCAGTCATTAAAAAGAATCTCTTTTATAAAATCTATTTTATTAATCTTGGAAAAATGCTATTTATCTCAGACTGATTTGAAAGTGGAATACAACCATAGTCAAGACCCTTGTGACCTATAAATCCTTTTTCTGACTCCTTATGGATTCATAATAGTGAAGCTTAGATGTAATTTTATGTAAGGTTTAAATCATTGTTAAGCATATAAATCTGGTTTGAACAGTAGTTATTTTATTTCCTCTACAAAAACTTTCTTATAAGGAAAACAAATGCTTTATAGACCTATTTGCCTTACTTTGTTGCATCATTATTTCTGTGTTGCTGTAGATATATTCCAAGCAATATATGTGTGCACCAATAATGCAACATCACACTAGGACCACAAGGAGTCATAACTTTATGTAATTTTTAGAACTTTCACATGAGTAACATACCTGTATAGACACAATTAAAATTAGGCAACCTGTGCAAACCCAGCAATGCATTCTACACAATCCAAACAACCTAAATAACTATTGCATCTCCAAGATGAGGCTTATGTCCTTTGACAGCTCCAGGAATCCAACTGGAAACATCAAAGTCAAAAGAATTAATTTACAACTCTGAATCTAAAAACAAGTCTATCAAAGATATCAGAGGTTTAAAACATTTGGTCAAAATAGGATCCCAGACCATTCTGAAAAATAACAATCATCTATCCAGACAAGGTGTTTCAGCCAGAGCTATATATAAACTAGATTTAATCAGTCACAAAGTGATCAATCAAATATTTCAGAATGAGTAGATACTCCAGAAAAATCTTAACTCTTTTAAGACTCAGGTATTTTAATTTTAGATTATTTGTTTTTATTGTCACACAATAGTTGTACATTTTATAGGGTACAATGTAACATTTTGATATATGCAAACATTGTATTGATCAAATTAGAATAATTAGCATCTATTGCTTCATATATTCAAGATTTCTTTGTAGTATGAACATTCAAATGTCTTTCTTCTAGCTATTTAGAAATATACAATATGTTATTGTTAACTATTTTTACCCTACTGTGCAAGAGAACACCAAGATTTTTTTTACAATAAGAAAAATAACTTTAATTCAATAAATTACATCTGAGGTTTTTTTTTTTTTACTTTTTTTGAGAAACTTAACTTACTTTAAAGGAGAACCCAAGAATAATACATCTGTTGCGAGTACTTAGATATAACTATAGCTTATGAGACATAAGAATAAATTCCACTTAATACACTTAAAAGAAGTAAATCTTTGAGAACAAGTTTTACTACTAACTCTCATAATACAACTCTCGGAGGACAGAAGTCCTCCATGGGAAGTTAGTGCACAGTGACACTTGTTAATTTAACGATTAACACTCTTATATATGATGTCAGTGATCACATGAGGCCCTTGACATGGACTGCCTAGGCTATGGGAGCCCTTCGAATCCACAAACTACTTCAGTATTAGACAAGGCTATAAGCAAAGTGGAAGTTCTCTCCTTCCATCAGAGAAAAGCACATCCTTCTTTGGCGGCCATGTCTTTCCATTGGGATCTCACCCACAGAAGTCCTTCATGTAGGACAGTTTTTGCCACAGTATCTTGGCTTTCCATGACTAAAATGCTCTCATGGGCTTTTCAGCCACACCAGAAAGCCATAAGGGCTTATTCTGAGAACAGAGTGCTACTTCAAGCAATTGTCATTCTATTAGTAAGACTTAGGTATTTTCAAGCAATCAGAGCTTAACAACAATAGCAGAAAATCCAAGACTCAATACACATGAAATCCTCATTTCCTAGCTCAGTTACTAAAACAGCAAAGAAAAAAACCCTTGAATAGGAGAATTAGCACACATACTCACCCTACTACTTGAAGCAGTTTAAATGTATTGAGAAAAGTAAAGGTCAAGAATCAAATCTCTAAACTTTTTTGGGGGGGATTTTTTTTTCATTTTTTTTTAAACTTTTATTTAGTAAATATAAATTTTCAAAGTACAGTTTATGGATTACAATGGCTTTCCCCCCCATAACTTCCCTGCCACCCGCAACCCTCCTATCTCCTGCTCCCTCTCCCATTCCATTCACATCAAGATTCATTTTCAATTATCTTTATATACGGAAGATTGATTTAGTATATATTAAGTAAAGATTTCATCAGTTTGCATCCACACAGAACATAAAGTGTAAAATACTGTTTGAGTACTAGTTATAGCATTAATTCACATTGGACAACACATTAAGGACAGAGATCCCACATGAGGAGTAAGTACACAGTGACTCCTGTTGTTGACTTAACAATTTGACACTCTTGTTTGTGGTGTCAGTAATCTCCCTAGGCTCTAGTCACGAGTTTCCAAGGCTATGGAAGCCTTGTGAGTTCACTGACTTCAATCTTATTTAGACAAGGTCATAGTCAAAGTGGAAGTTCTCTCCTCCCTTCAGAGAAAGGTACCTCCTTCATTGAAAAACTGAGGAAATCTCCAACTAAATGCAAACTGTAAAAATAGAAAAGTTGAAACAAGGAAAATTACAATCAAAGATGGGTTAAGAATGTCAAAGATCAGATTTCAAAATTCAAAGATAAAAATTTCTTGTGAGTATTTTCCTATCAGAAAACCTGGTTGTTTTGATATTAACATTTAACATTAACAAATTCTAACTTCATAACAATATGCCTTTGACATTAATACTTAATTTATAGAAACTCATATGGCCAATTCCATGGTAACATCAGCCAATGTTATTTCACACAGGATCCATCTTTCACAAAACTAGAACATTTTATATTTCTCTCAGCTCATTGTCCTGTTCTGTTACTTTTTCCTTGCCAACACCATTTTACTTTAGGACAAATATTACTCACTTTTCCCCTTAATCAAAACACATCATTTATATTCCATAACTTCATGCATGTCTGTCTTTGACAAAGAGATTTTTAAACTTTTCTCTTAATATTGAGTTTCATATATTTGTTAGAATTATTCCTTAATCTTAGTTACTCAATATCTAGTGAAAGATTAGTAAACAATGTTAAATTGACGTATTTTAATAATTTATGATAGCAGCTACTTATCAGCCCAGTGCTTTTTATAGAATTTAAGATGTCAACTTTACATTTAGAAATATTTTCCTTCTTCATATTTACCTAAGTTTTAACAATTATACTTAGATTTAAGAAACCAAACTATTAGACAAGCATGGTTGGGCCATTTTCTTGACAAAAAAAAAACTCTAAAAACTGAATTTTACTTCATATATATGAAGCAGTGCACACTGTTTGGTTTTAGGTCAAAATTATACCTTTATTATTTTAAATGTCTACCAAAAATAAGTAACATTTGCTTGACTAGCATACCTAGGCACAGACATATGTTAATAACTCTGAAAACATTTTTATTTTGTTTTTACAAAAAATTTATTTGAAAGGCAGAGTTATGGGGTGGTGTGAAAGAAAAGAGTACAAGGATGGGCCAGGGCTGGGCCACACAAAAGCTAGTAGCCGGAAAATCTTGGTCTCCCACTTGGTTGGCACCCAACTAGTTGGGACATACCCATTGCCTTCTCAGGCCCATTAGCAAGAACCCAGATCAGTAGTACATAGTTGCTGGGAATTCATCTGGCACTCAAATATGGCTGCAGACATTGCAAGTGATGGCTTTATCCATCACACTATGCCTACTCCTTTACCAACAAATTTCAGACAACCTAGTGTACCACAGATTTATTTAAGGCATGGGCCCCAAGAGTACTTAGATTAGTTTCTTTATGTGAGTACACATTTGTCCATGTGCCAAATGATCAGAAATAGTAAGGGGATTTTACATTACAGACACAACTAGTACCATGTACAAAGTGTAACACACATCACAGTTCTCACCCTACAAAATCACATACACAACATGGACAATCACTTACAATGAATCAATTGATGTGGCCCATGGGACACACATTCCCCTCCTCTGCTGTAGATGGGTTCCTCTAGGTGCTGGTGCAGCTTCTCAATTTCACCAAGATGCTCTTCCCACAGGTCAGCCCCTGCAACCATCCCACCAGGACAGAGAAGTGGGAGAGAGAAAATGCTGGTTACTACTTTGCCAGAAGAATGGACTTTGCCAGCAGCCCCTCAGCAAGATCACCATCCTTCTGCCAATCCCTTTGTCTCCTCATACAGGCACCCAGAGGACACTGGTTAACTTTGGCCCAAGAGTAAATGAGCTTTCAAAACCAGAGAGCCTCCTACTAAGAAAATCCTATGGACCTCCTCTCACACAGTTGTCTGCTATGTGAGAGTTTCATGTTTTAGAAAAATAACAGGATTCAAGATAGGACCTACCTAGCATCTGGAAAGCTATGGCCACCTCCTGTATGTGACTTTAAGGATAACAGAGACAGCCTCACTTGACCTGTCTTCTAATATTACCTTTCATTTTACTGATACACAACTGAACATATTTAGAAAGGACAAATCCTTTTGTACAACCCTTAGAGAGAAGGCTTAATGTAAAAGCACATTATCTTCAACACATCCTACATGGTTAGTTGCTGATAATGGATGCATCAGACAGCCAGCATTAGTCCATGGGTCTGCAGGTGGGTTACAGGAGGAAGGAGAACCTCCAAGGAAAGAAAAGGATTCAGAAAAACAGGAGGAAGGCTAATGAAAGGTTACATTACCTGCACATTTCTTTTCTGAAAACTACAATTCTCTTTCTTTTGGAACTGAGCTGCATCACAGTATTTGCCTGCCTAGAGATACCTGCCCACTTGGTATGACTGCCTTTCATGCATTAGGTATATGTGCAGGATGGGGAACTGCTTGCCTCTCTATAACAACATCTTGCAGCTAGAAGCCAGTACTTGTTAGTGCTTGTGCCTAGAAAACTGTAAGAGTGGCCATGGGGACAAGAGATCCTTAATTTTCCCCTTCCCTTGCAGAGCACTGAGGCCTCAGGCATGGAGAATTAAAGGATGTACTTAGAAAGTACCAAGTGTGTGTGCAGCCCTTTCACTTCATACCCACTCTGTGAGAAGGCACCAGAAAGGGAATGGAAAACAAAGCCTGCCCAGAAAGGAAAATAAGTCAAGTCTTTGGTATTCTTCAATTTCTCTTCTTACTTTCACTTAGTTTAGAGATTCTCCCCCTTTAGTTATGTATATATTTTATCCACTACTTCATTTTTAAAAGAGGTTAGAAGGTATTTGTATAGTTCAAAGATGCATTTGGCAGCAAGTAGTAGAAAATGCTATTATGGCAGCTTGAAATGAGGGACATTTTTCTTTCTGACTTCATAAGGAGTCCACAACTGGGTGGCTGCTGGCTTTGGTTCAGTCTCAGACAATTATTGCCAATTTTTCTATGCTTCTATTAGATTTTTATGACACAAGTCTCATGTTAATGTGATATTAATACAAAAATGAAGACGTATTCCATGTAGTTCATAGATACAATTTGGATGTAGCTTTTATTGAAAATACTTCTAATGTGGTTGGCCACAACTGACAAAATAAAATTATACTTCTATTATTAGCCTTGTGTAAGATTTATATATTCTGTGTAGTTTGGAGTTTGGGAGTCACAACTAAAGAAAGACTTTCTACAGTAATATTTTATGGCTTTTACTCTTTTTAGCCCTCCTAATGATCTTGGAACCATCTTGGAAATAGTACAAAGAAGACAAAACTGAAGCTACACCAAAGTCAAATTTAAGGTGGCTTTAAACCTCACTAAAAAGAAGAGAATGTGTTGTGTCATAATTTTGCTCAAATAAATGGATAGACATAATGGATTTCTCCTATTATTTTTTCACACTTGATGTTATAGTTAGTTCTAAGTCCATTTCTAAGTAATTTAGCCTTTATTTGTTAAGTATAAGTTAACTATTCAGTTGAGATGATAAAGCAGATTTTGTGGAATATAGTATTACATGACAGAAACTTATATCTAAAATGACTATTATAGGCTATTTCTGAAGGAAAGTCAAATTTACACCTTGTGGTGCAATCCCCCTAGAAAAGTAATATACATAGGAGAGCTCATATCAAGCTATTACTTTAGCCCTGATAGTATAAACCCATATTATCACTCATGAAACTTGTGACCATTTTGTTTCAATGATAGCAAAATCACACCAAATAAAAAAGCATTATTTTTTTGAAATTTTATAGAAGTTACACAAATTTCATGCATTTCATATGTACAGATTTAGGAACATAGTGATAACGTCCCATGCAAACCTCCTAATACCCAAGACCAACCCTTCTTCTTCCTCCCTCTTCCATCCCCATTCTTAATTTTTACAAACATCTACTTTCAGTTTACTTAGTTATCATAAGTTGTAGCCTTCATTAAGTAGAAATTAATGATAATCAGTTTAATTTCTAATAAGTTTGTATCTTTTAACTGCACAGTTGAGGTCATTTACATTCAAGGTGAGTGATGATAAATAATGACTTGCCCTTCCATTTTTTGATAAATATTCCTATTGTTAAATTTGGATTTCTTTTGTACTTCTACTAGGGGATTTTCTGCCATCTCATTCTTTCACAATTATGGATATCATTCTGTGTTTCTGTGTGTAGCATATCCTGAAGCATCTTTTGAAAGGCTAGATGAGTGGCAACAACGTCTTTCAATTTCTGTTTGTTGTAGAAAGTCTTTATTTCACCTTCATTCATAAGTGAGAGTTTTGCAAGGATACAGTATTCAGAATTGAAATCTTTTTTTTCTTTAAAGACTTGGACTATATCTCTCCCTTCCCTCCTAGCCTGTAGGGTTTCTGATGAGAAGTCAGCTGTGAGTCCAATTGGAGATCCTCTAAAAGTAATCTGGCATTTCTTTCTTGAATATTTGAGTATCTTTCCTTTATGTTTTATTGTGAAAAGTTAGACTACAATGTGTCATAGTGAAATTTTTTCTGGTCATGTTGTTAGGGGCTCAGTGTGCTTCCTGTACTTGGACATCCCTCTCTTTCCCCAAATTGGTGAAGGTTTTTGTAAACATTTTACTAAATAAGCCATCTAGTCCATTCTCTCTTTACACACCTTCAGGAAATCCTAAGACCTGGATGTTGGGTCCTTTGATAATATCCCATAGGTCTCCAAAGCTATTTTTACATTTTCTATTTTTATCTTGTTTTGCTTTTATTTTTGTTTTTTGGTCTAACTGTAATATTTCCAAATATTTCTCTTCTAGTTTGGAAATTCTTTCTTCTTCCTCACCATGTCTGCTGTTATGGCTGTCCATTACATTTTTATTTGATCTGTTGAATTCTTCATTCCTAATATTTCATTGCAATTTCTCTTCTTCCTCCTCCCTCCCCCATTCCCATTCTTACTTTTACAAAGATCTATTTTCAGTTAATTTTATACTAATGGGTTTAACCCTACACTAAGTAGAGAGTCCACTGACTAGCATGAGAAAAAAAGAACATAAACAAATAAACAAAAACATTGTTCTTCAGCAGTCAAGACAAGGGCTGTTCAAAATCTCAGCATATCAAGAAGTGTTCCACTCCTATAGATTAACTTTTAGGTATCCCTTTAGTAACCACAGATCAGAGAGACTATATAGTATTTGTCATTTTGTGACTGGCTTATTTCAGTAAGTATAATGGTTTCAAGTTGCATCAATTTTGTTGCAAATGACAGGATATCATTTTATCACTGTGTACTATTCCATAGTGTATATATACCATAGTTTCACATCCAATCTTCTGTTAATGGATGTCTAGGTTGATTAAATATCTTTATTTTTTTTCAAGTTTGGTATTAACTTTATTCTATTTTCTGTATAACTTTAAGTACATAAAGGTTTATTTCCACAGGCCTCAGGAAATGGGTAGAAGTCACAGGACAATCTCTCTTCCCACCAAAAAAAGTTGCATATTTTGGTAAGTGTTTGTTCTAGAGGAAAAAACTGAAATTTACATTAGCATTGCTGTGGGAGATCCTTACATCCATCAAGACCCAAAACCAGCCTGCAGGGGAGGTTTTAGTCCTCTGCAGTGCCTGGACGGGAGCCAAGTGCCACTGATGGTGGGCAAAGGAGGCAATGAAGACGACAGGCATCTAGCAGGGAGGAAGAATGCCAGATTCCTTGGGATGGTGTGAGGATATTTTTTTAAAAAGTAATTTCTGTAGGAAGGTTCTGGGCAGGGATCCCTAAGAAAGGGCCCACTGCCCTCAGTGATGGGCACTGCTACAGCAGCTGATCCCAGAGAACCTGCTGTCCCAAGGCTGAGGCAGACTTACAATGGAATGCAGAAGGAAAGGAATGCTTATGGGGAAACTGTTTTGCTTGGAATGCTAGATGGCTAAGTCTCAGCCTTTGAACCAGTGCAACCCTTGCCTCACTTGTCAACAGTGAAAGATCATTTGGTTAGAACAACCACCTGGAATCACACAGCTTCTGCTACCTATCTGCTCACTGTTAGGAAAAGATCGCCTAGTGTGAACGTTCTGATCCGTTCATCCTGGGACTGTTTTATTATTCTCAAAGGACTGTAATTGGTCAAGTAACCCCAAAGCTGAGAGCTAAAATGCACCAGTCCTGGCCTGCCGTTCCTGAAGAATGCATTGGCGGTGTGGCTGCACTGATATAAGGAAGCTGCACCTTCCTGCAGAAGATCAACTGACCTGCTACCCCGCCCCAAATCTCAGCCTGAGGTATATTTCAGTGAAGGCAGGTAGCTGTGCTTCTCAGAGCAGAGAAGCCATTAAGAGCAGAAAGGTAGAGGAAACCTAGAAAAGAACCGTCTTGATAACAGAGTCATCCCGTGTGTGGAGGGAGAGGGCACAGAACCCAGTGGCACTTCACTTAACTGGTGATTTCTGTCACTGTGGTGACCAACTTATGCCCGTTTCATACAGTCTTGAACTGTTCTGGGACTGGGAACTTGTTGAAGTCCCCGCCTTCTGTGGGAATGAGGATGTTCGTCTCAGACGACTTGGCACTATCTCACAGTGCAGGGAATTCTTGCTCAAGTAAGTGTAGCAGCCATCTGTTTTGTTAATGGAAATGGTTGCACTTTACCCATTACCTGAACTTTGACATCCCTATTATTAATTATCTCCACAATGCCCACCACGTCATCGAATACCAGCCTGAGTTTCTTACAGTTATCTACTGTGATGGAGTTAATCTAGCCCTTGATTTGCAATGTCGTGTTGACACACTTGTATAGGTAAGCCACCTGCTTCAGCTCTGTATCCTCAGTTACCAGGTTGGAAGCATTCTCTTGATTTTCCACTCTCCATTTCTTGCCCTCCAGTTCAAGTACAGCTGGCTCCTTCTTTGTGGCTGGTTTGGGGGATGGGCTGGTTTGGGGTTTAGGAGCAGAGAATGGTTTGGGGCCACTGCGTACTCTGAGCCTTCAGGGCAGGGTTCTTGTGAGTCTTCATATCATCAGACACGTGTTTCAGGGCATGTGTGATGCTCTCTCCCTGATTAATCTGCACAAACAGTGCTGAGCGGGAGGCAGAGTCATCGGAGACTGAACTGGTAGGGACTGGCGGGGGAGGAGGGCCAGGTGGCGGGGGAGGAGGACCTGATCCAGCCAAGGGTCCAGACGGCAATCCACTCAGTTCTTTTGCCACAGGCCCCGTTTTGCTCCAGCCAGTCCGGTGGTATGGAACTCCTTAATGTAAGCCTGCAGCTCTGTCCATATACTCAAGTAAGCTTTCACCCAGTCCACATGCTTCTTACCCACATCTTTATATTCCTTGAGGACTTGGTTTGTGTAAAACATGGCAGCATCATTCATTTCTTTCACATAGGGGCCGGGCTTGGGAGCCACAGCCACCCAGCCCAGGGTCTGGATGCTTTCACTGACAGCTGACAGGTGATTGAACAACTTGCTGCCTCGGTTTTTCTCCCGAAATGTTATCACTTCTTGGATCTGCTCGGAGATGGGTACCAGCAAATCAGAGAGCTTATTACCTGCTGGCTGCTGGCACTGAGAGGCTGTAACCAAGAGCGCTCGCTCCAGCTTCAGGCCTGTATGCAACATCTCTGCGTGTTTCTGCACATCTCCCCCAATCTCTTTACTGTTCTTCAAGTACTCTGCCACAGGACCGGCAAGCAGTGAGTCAAATGCCTGCACATAGAGAGCTGCCCCTGCTTTTGAAGGGCTGTCTCCATATCCTCGGTGCATGTCAGAGGTATGGGATACCGCCTCCAGATGGCCCACTGCTCTCTCCAAACTTTCTACCAGATTTTGCATGTCAGCCATAATGGACCACCTCGGTACTGCGATCAGCCGGTCTCCTAAATATCTTTATTTTTAAAGATTTTTTTTATTTATTTGAGAGGTAGAGTTACAGACAGAGAGAGACAGAGACAGAGACAAAGGTCTTCCATCCACTGACTCACTCCCCACAATGGCTGGAACAGAGCCAATCTGAAGCCAGGAGCCAAGAGTTTCTTCCAGGTCTCTCACACAGGTGCAGGGGCCCAAATACCTGGGCAATCTCCTGCTTCTTTCCCAGAACATAAGCAGAGAGCTGAATTGGAAGAGGAACAGTTAGGACATGAACTGGCACCCATACAGAATGTGGGCATCACAGGCAAAGGCTTATCCCACTATAGCACAATGCTGGCACCCCCATATCTTAGCTATTGTAAATTGAGCTGAAATGAACATGGGGGTACATATTACTCTTTCATATGCAAATTTCATTTCCTTTGGAAAAATTCCAAAGTGGGATGTCTAGATCATATGGCAGATCTATATTCAGATTTCTGAAGTATCTCCACACTGTCTCCCACAGTTGCTGTATCAGTTAACCTTCTCACTAAGAGTGCAAGAGGGTTCACTTTTCCCCACACCCTTACCAGCATTACTTGTTTGTTGATTTCTATGGCAAAGACATTCAAAAAGGTGTAAGGTAAAACTTCATTGTGGTTTTGATTTGCACTTCCCTGATGGCTATACATTCTGAGCATTTTTTCATGTAGTCTGTTGGTCATTCGAATTTCTGCTCATCAAAAATATCTGTTCCTTTGCCCAATTTTTAACTGGGTTTTGTGTTTTGTAATTGTTGAGTTTCTAGAACTCTTTATACATTCTGTAAATTAACCCTTTATCAGTTGTATAGTTTGCAACTACTTGTATGTGCATACAAAGCTAATTGATTTTTTTTGTGCTGATGTTATATCCTGATACTTTACAAAACTCTTATGAGTTCCAATATTCTCTTTGTGGAATAGTTTGGGTCCCTTATGTATAGAATCATACCACCTGAAAATAGGAATAATTTAGTTACCTCCTTCTCAGTTTATATCCCTTTAATTTCTTTTCCTTCCTAATGGCTCTTTCTAAATCTTCCAGGACTATATGAAGCAGCAAGGGTGAGAGTGGGCATCCTTGTTTGGTTCTTCATCTGAATGGGAATACCTCCGATATTTTCCTATTTAGTAGGATGCTGGTTGTGTGTTTGTGTGTTTGTCATAAATTGCCTTGATAATGTTGAGAAATGTTCCTTATATACCCAATTTGCTTAATATTTTCAACATAAAAAGGTATTGAATTTAATCAAATGCTTTTTCTGCATCTATTG